TTTAAAAAATCAGTGATATCTTAGGGGCTGGGATGTAGCTCAATGGTCCTGCGCCTGCCTGGCAAGCGTAAGGTCCTGAGTTCGATCCCTGGGAAAAAAATCAGTGATGTTTTAAGAAACTGCAGAAGACTGCAGAACTACAGGGAAAGATATCAAATCAAATGGGAAGAAGCTGCTCACTTCTATAGCAAAGAGTTCTCCTCAGCAACGTCCCCGAGTCACTGGTGGGAAATGTTAGTGTTGCTGGTATCATTACAGGTAAAAGGTCAGTCACATTCCAACTTCCTTAGTCGTTAGTATTTCCTGTGCAGACTAAAAATATACTGGGAGAAAGTTGGCTGAGTTCAGAGAGGAGGAGAAATCCATTTCACCCTGAGGAAGAGAGGCCAGACTTTGTTCATTCAATGTTTAATGGTAAAATATTAAAAGAAATGAAATCATTTAAACTACCTACACACTGTTTGATTCAATTAAAAAGCAGTTACTGGATTTGGTGCCTTCTCAGATGTTCCTGGTTCTTGTCCTTCCACTTTGATAATCTAAGAGCTAGTTTCTATTCTTCTAAACCTTCTTGAATCTAGTGGAAAATAAGGATCAATTAATTCTTACAGTGTTCAGAAGTTTAATTCCTAAAGATGTCACATGGCTATGACTTTGGCTAATAATGTCACCAGTTTTATTTATTCAGTATACTTGTACTGAATGCCTACTCTGTGAGGGCAGAGTGTCAGAGTTTTTTAAGTACATACTGTGCTGAGGACTAATTACCCAGAATCCTTACAGTCCCCGTACCACAGACAGGGAGACTGATTGCTGGCCAGCTGGGAAAAATGAGCTACTTCATGGTGACCCAGGTGTCTCCTGATCAGAGTCTCACGGACAAGCCAGATGAGTTGTTTCCCAAGCTACCTCTCTTTATTAGTCATTTTCATGTCATGTGAAATTACATGCCTCAGAATAATGTAAAATAGCAGCAATGAATAAAATATTAAATAGGTATTCCTAAATAACATGGCAATATTCTTATGTTTTATTGAGTTCCTAAAATGGAATAAGTTTAGATTAGATTTTTTGTAAGAATGTACAAAGAAACAGTAGATACAATAAAAACCATAAAGGAAGTTTATTTTTAAAAATTCAACATTTTGGTTATTAATAATTAACTAAGATTCTCATGGATCTACTTCCAGCTTTAAAATAATAGAAAGATAACAAGAGAAGAAAAGTAGAAAAATGTAAAAGTCTGATTGAATTAGCTAAAAAGAATGCTAAAAGCAGTTAACTTTATTCTTAGCTGTAATAGTTGCAACAAATTTATTTAAATGCCAGCTTTCTAGTTCAATTTATTTTCTCCAGATTTATAGTTTTTCTTTTAAAATTACAAATGAATACATGTCTCTTCTGTATTTCTGTATACATATATGTATAAAACAAATAAATAAACAAATTCTCTATCTATCTAGACCTTTATAAAGTCAGTAGAATAGAAAGCACTAGGTTACCACCTCCCCCACCTCTATTCCATCTGGGAATTATTCACTCTTCATAGTTTGGTTGATGCCTTTCAGATGCTTTTCTATGAGTTTTCTAGTAATTCCATTTATAAAATGCTACTGTGTTTTGAGAAGGAAATACTGCACACTCTCATCCCATTTTAGTGAGAAAGATCTTCCAGATGAAAAAATGAAAGGTAAAAGTAAATTCATTTTGGATTAAATAAAATCTCAGAACACTTTTGTTTCTGGGAATGGCTTCAGGGTTTCACATAGTCTCCCATAGACTCAACCTTCATCCTCCCCAAATCCTTTCGTAGAAACCCTGACCCCCAAAGAAACTGTATGTAGAGCTAGAGTTCATAACATGATAATTAAGGTTAAGTGAGGTCATCAGGGTGGAGCCCCAATGGATAGGATTAATGGTCTTGCAGGAAGATGAGCTGGTGCTCACTCTCTCCCTGCACCTGCACCCAGTAGAGGTTCTGTGAGCATGCAGCATGATGGAGCTGCCCACGCTCCAGGAAGGGAGGCATCACCAGAAGCTGACCATGAGCATCCCTGTGGGCTGAGATGAACCTATGGTTCCATCTTCTAGAACTTTACCAACCTGTTGAATCCAATTCAGTATTTGTTTTTCTTTTGTCTGACCCACTCAGATACCTGAGACATCCCTTCAGGACCAGATCTTTTTTGTTATGACTCCCAAATCCTATTTGTTATGACTCCCAAATCCAGATCAGTGTTTGCTCAAACTCTTATAGCTTCAAAAATGAATCCATGGAACTTTGGAATCTGAGAGTGAACTTACCTTGGATCCCCAGCTGCAGTTAGAAAACAGGGACCACAATGGACTCAGCAGGTGCTGTACCTGGTTACCCAAGGCTCTGGGAGTCATGGTGCTCTGCTTTGGGTCTTGCCCATCACACACCAAGCAAAGGAAAACACTTTAGATTAACTAAATTGAGTAGAGTTTATTTGAGCAAAGAAAAGAAAAAATAATTTATGAACCAGAGCAGGTTTTGAGAAATCAGGCCAATGAAATTATCAGACAGCATTTATAGAAAAATGGAAATGAGGTATAGAAAAAACTTAATTGGTTACAACTTAGCTAATCAGTCATTTGGATACAGCTGAACTAGTTGAATGGGTTACAAATTAATTAATTAATTCTCTACAGGGCCTCCTGCAACCAACCAAAGCTCAGTTACTGTGACTAAACTCTATGATTTGTTCTATTCGTGTCTAGTACAGCAGCTTGGTCCAAATCAGTGGCTTCTTTCAATTTTATTAATACTGCTGTGGAGGAAATAATCAGAGTGATGTGATACAGAGCCTGGCAGAGGAAGCTACTTTAGAAAAAATATTAAAATGTATTTTGAGTTAGTGCTGACATTGAGTTAAAACTAGGAAACTGAGTGAGTCCCTCTAAGAGCTAACCAACGGAAGTGGGAATTGGATGAGTTTGTTGTGC